TGTTTCTCGGCATGAAGTTGTATAGTTTTCTTTACTTTCTACTGTTCCTTGTTGTAGCTTAATGTTTTGCTTTAACTGTCTGTCATGTAGTTTTTCTTGAAATTCTCTATCAAACCATTTCCTTGTTTTCTTCAAGCATTTTCCTATTATTAGTTCTGCTGACTCCGTAATTAATTTTTTCTTTTGTTGCCACAGCCTTTCGACATCATTGCTCTGGTCTACTGTATTTAGATGATGTTTAATTTCTTGTTTGTAATTTTCTCGGATTTCCTCAATTTGCATTTCCTCGATATTCCACTGTCCCAATGCTTCGTTTGACTTAGGTTTCTCTGAAGATATTCTTAACCTGATTTTTACTCTTACCAGGTGATGATCTGTATCTCCATCTACTGCCCTGAAGCTTCTTACATCCAGCACATTACTTCCATATCTAGCATCGATAATTACGTGGTCAATTTGGTCCAGAGTAGAATGTTTTTATGTTGGAACATAGTAGACTTTACAAGCATATTGTTAGCCGATGCTAGCTCTACGAGCCTTTGTCCATTGTCATTGCCTATGTCTATGTTATTTGCTAATAACAATTGCCGGGCCACTTGAAAAATCTAAAAAAATGCAATAAAACTTTAAAAATACGTAGAATCAAATACACATAGTTTTATGTATTAGAAATGAAAAAAATAGTCGGTTTATGCTCTGTTTAGAAGGAAAACCACTTGCCTATACTGACAAACCGATAAATTTACACTGAAATCCTGAAAACTTGAAAAATTAGCCGTACTTGACGGCTACTAAGAACATGAATTAAGTAAAGACCGTATTAAATATTTTCTATTTACTGGTGAAAATAAATGCAGTTGCTTAAGTGCTGAGTTGAAAAACATTCATCAGCGTTTAAAATTATATATTCCTCTAAAAGATTTTATTTATCGGACAAAATAAAACAAATTGATGATTTGTACACAAATCATCAATTTTTTGGCAGTAACTTTACTAAAGACGTTTATTTAAAAAGTTATATAGATACTAAATGCAGTTATTTTATCTTTCAATTAACAAAGTTAATGTTAGTTTAATTTGAGGTGTAATAATGTCAAAGAAAAAAAATTTCTAAAACAAGAGTTTTACGTTTAATTCTACGTAAATTAATTAATGACTTCAGTCCGTGAAATTATTTTCTAAGCCGAATCTTGACACTGGATCCCAAGATCGGTGAAAGATCATCATTTTAAAACTGGAGACGCGAATAGAGTGATTTTTCATTAAAATCCCAATAGGATTAAATTTTCCTTATACATAATTTATTTTCTATAATAACCCTTTTATATTATGTAAATTTTACATAATCCAGAATTATGAAAAATATTATTCACAAGTATTTAACATTTAACTCTTTTTATGTTTAGTGTGGAAATCACTTATGGAATAAAATTGTTTGAGAATATAAATATAAATATGCGCTCTCAAAACATATCAAATATCATGTATGTTTTTATTTTTTCAAAAGTTTTATTTTCAATTTTATCATAATATTATTCAGATAGTTCATTTTGTTTTTGGTTGTTTGTTTTTTCTAAACCTACTTACTAAATACTATTTTCTTTTTATTGTTTGATATAATGAACTTTTTTAAATTTCCCTCTCAATTTAAAGTTGGTAATATGGTTGGTAGTACTTAAAATCACAAACGGTATATTGTTAGACGTCAGTTTGAAAGTTTGTATTTTGTAGTTACATCGAACTATTTAAACAACAATAGTTCCTCCCACTGCCTCTTTCTGTTCGTGAGATGTGACTGAATTCAAACTTGCAAAGACGACTGTTTTTTTGTCAAACATGTCGTCTTACTTTTTACATTTTAAACTTTGTAACGTATTCATTAACTTTTAAGTTGTTTTTAAATTTTTAACAGTTTTAATGCCTTCAGCAATTCATGTCATATTATGTTATTTAACGTTGTGTTTTATATGCTATGAATCTTACTTTCTGGTAAGTTTTAATAACTTTTATATTGCATCAGGTAAAGTTTATAACACAGTAATTTTCATTGTAGACCTTGATAAGGGTGGCAAACAACCACCGAAAGCTCGGATTCAGAATAAATAGTACGCCTTAGCAAAGCTCTATATTTTATTGACTACCACACCCAAAAAGAAAAAAGTATTTACATATATATATATATATATATATATATATATATATATATATATATATATATATATATATAAGCGAGGTTCCTACAGCCTCTGGCGCCTGATACCTTTAGACCATAGTAGAGAGTTTAGAATGCTTTTTTTCCCTGCTGCGTTCAATTTTTGATGTCTCTTTGATAGTGCCTTCTTTAGATATTATAGATCCGAGATATTTATATTCCTTGCATCTTTTTGTGTTTCTAATTTCTAATTCTGGATCTTCTTCATCATCTCCTATTCTGAGATACTCTGTCTTTGACATATTTATACTGAGGCCCAATTTTTCATATTCTTTCTTTAGTTTTCTAAACATGTAGTCCATGTCTTCCTCATCACTCAAAAATAAAGTTGTTAGACATTTACCATCGCTAATGTCTATTCCCATTCCGAATACTTGTTTCCTCCACTGCTCTAGTGATGATTGAATATACAGGGTTACGCAATTGAACTGTTACCTATTTAAACGACCATATTTTTTTGTGTGAAATTATTTTTTATTGATTCAAACAACAAAAATGTGTAAAATCAATCAAAATTTCGGAATCCACTCTTTAGCTCGATGTGGTCACATTTTGCCTTGACTGTGACCTTCAAACGATTAAAAAACAAGTTGCATGCTGCACGAATGTGATCTTCTGATATTTTGGCCCATTCACGTATAATCGCTTTCTTCAGCGCATCGGATTTGCGTCTGGCGAATTCGAAAGCCATTGTGTGAATGAAATGAAGTGTGAAACATGGTTTTTTAACTATTCTTGGTTCACACTAGCTTTATTAGACGGTGTCGAGTCTTGTTGGATCGTCCATGGTCTACAACTGAAATGTTTGGGTGTAAACGGATCTAAAGCTGCTTCTAAAATATTTTACCGATAATAAGTTGCATTGACTTTGACATCAGATTCAATAAAAACGATTTGAGAGCGTCCATCGGCGGTTACAGTTGCCCATACCATTACTTGAGATGGGAAATTACTTCGGGTGGCTGTTCGTAAGCCCAAACTTTCGTAGGTGCGTTCGGTCAAGTAAACACGATCATTTTGAGAGTTTATGAACTGCTCAATAGGGAAATTTTTCTCATCAGAGACCTCTATGTTCGGAAATTCGCCACGTTCATGCAGGCGTAACAACTTCTTTGCTTTTTTAAGCCGAACTTTTTTTTGTTCTGGTGTGCTTTTTGTAACTTGTAAGACTTGACCTTGAGCTCCTTTTTCAATATTTGTTGCATGCTTCACTGGGATATTTTCAGTTCTTTGGCCATTTGATTATCACTACGACGTGGATTTCGCTCAAGTCGAGCCTTCACTTTCCGAACCATTTTAGGTGATGTTGCTGTTTTTTTTTTCGTCCACCACCATAGCGTTTAGCAATGCTACCAGTATCATTATAACGAGTTATGGTGCCATACACTAACATTTTATTCACTTTGAGGTGTTTCTGCTGTCGAACAATAGCTGGTTGTGATTTTCCAGCCAAATATAAGGCGATCACACAATTACGTTTAAATTCCATTGCGAATAACTTTTGTTGTATGTATAAAACTTAAATGCAAATGATTTTGACGACATATAAACATACTGAAGTGTTATCAGGCCAACTTTGACGTAGCTGTCATTATCGATTTGCCAGATATATCGATGTGAAGTTGGTAACAGTTCAATTGCGTAACCATGTATATTTTAAATGAGGTCGGAGATAGACGACATCCTTGTTTAAGCCCCTTTGTTATTGTTAATGATTTAGATATAAAGTTTTCTTCTTTAACGATACTTCTTGAATTTTTGTATATATTTGCGTTAGCATCCACATACTCTCTACTAAGACCTACTTTCGCCAATGTTTGAAACAGTTTTTTCAAAGGTACCGTATCGTATGCCTTCTCTAAATCTACAAACAATATGTGGGTAGATAGATTCCTTGCCTTCCGTTTTTCGATTACCTGCTGCAGAACGGATATAGCACCAGTGCACGATCTTCCTGCACAAAATCCATTTTGTTCTTCTATGTCTTCGTATTCTGATTCTATTCTTTTTTCTATTATTCGGCCGTACCACCTCCCCACTGAGCTGATTACAAGTAATCCTCTATAATTAGAGCATTTGCGTTTATCCCCTTTCTTATATATTGAGCTGATGTATCCAATATTCCAATCATCAGGGATATTTTGTCCTTTTAAGCATTGTTATACAAGTTATAAACCTGTTATACAATAAGATCTTAAAAGTATCTATTCAACAGAGCTGGTCATTTCAAGGCATAGTACAGACTTGAAAAGGTATTTCGTAAAACCATTATAGTCTCCAGCATAGTAAGACAACTTCTGCATAACTACCGATTGGTATAAAAAGGTTCGATGTATCTTTTATATAAAAGACTCGAGTTTACAAGGGCAAAATAAGACGTCTATCAAGTATTGATAGAAAACTTGTAGTTATAGTTGATCTGTCGAAGTCCCTAGGACCTGTATAATAATCAAACGACTTATTAAAACACTGGCGTCGATAAATCTTTGTTACAGTTGTTTAACTATGGTAAATATAAATACTGCAGAGAAAGGTGATATAAAGGAGATAATTCTCGAATCAGCATAGCACCCATATGATGATTTCGAACAAACACCACTAAATTAAGTCGAACAGCTAGGAGGAGATTGCAGGAAAAATTGTGATTATAATTGATCATTGACTGTAAACATGATTTACAGATAAACCAACCTTCACAACTTTACAATGAAGAAAAGTAATTGCTGTAACAGTGACTACGACTCACTGGCTAGAACTGTTAAAATGGAGCATATAAGCTTTTATACCAATGGCTAATGTAGTTCCTACCGAAGACTCCAGAAAAGGACTCGATAGGCATATTAGAGATGGTGTATCAGTTGAAAGTTCGATAAATCTGAGGCAGTATCGAGCAGGACTCTCTACGAAAACGGCACTGCATAATCTCCTACATAAGGTTAAGTACGTTTTGGAAAATAACGAATTAATGTTATGTGCATTTTCATATATAGAGGGAGCATTCGACAACACTTACGAATATATCACAGGGGAAATTTCTCTTAGAGAAATAGAAAAAACAAGCCGCAGATTAATATATTGCGTAATAAAGAGGCCTGTGATATACGCAACAGTACAAGAGGATACACTGTCAGCACAAGTAGCCATAGACTGTCTGCAGGGGGAGTCGTTATCTTGTTAAAATTTGGTCACGATATGCTGACGAATAGACACAGCAACGACAAGTATCATGTGCTGTGCTATATGGTTGATCTGATTATTTTAGCCCACGGCAAATTTAATAGAACAGTCAGAGATAACATGCAACAGACTCTGACTATAGTTATAGGATGGACATCAAATAAATAGGTTGAATACATGTAAAGAAAAGTATTTTGGGATAATGTTAAACTCAAAGTTTACTTATAATTATCAGATAGAAGGAATATTCAACAGAGCGGTGACAACGTTAATGGCAGCTATGCACATTTATGCGAGAATGTGAGGTTTATAACCAGACATGTAATATATTAAAGTCAAAATATGAATCACGCAAGGAGGTACGATATCTTCTAAACTTTTTACGGCTGTTCTGAAACACGTTTTTAAAAAACTGGAGTAGAAAGCCAAATGAATCAATTTCCTTCATTTAAGATTTGCGAAGGATATGTTCTTATAACAAACAACTTAAAAGAGATTGGAACTATGCTTACTGAGTTAGATGCCGTCTGGAACAAAGTGTGTGTACATTACAAATCTGGTAAAAAGCAAAAATCCAAAAGTCGATGGCAACGAAATAGGATCAGTTCATAAATATAATTAATTCATCATCATCACGTAGCGCTACAACCCTGGGTGGGTCTTGGCTGACTGTACAACTTTTTTATACTTTGTTCGGTCTTCCATCAACCTAGGGTCAAATGGAATGTTCATTTTCCGGAGATCTGCTTAAATGTTATCTCTCCATCGCATTCTGGAACGTCCGAGTGGTCTTTTGCCTATGGGAATCTCCTCCCATACCTGTTTCACAAGTCTTTCGTTATGCAGTCTGTGAACGTGGCCTGCCCATCTTAGTCGCTGTGATTTAATTTCTTGGACAATATCGGCGTCGTTGTAGAGTGCTTTTAATTTGATATTGCTTCTGATCTTATATTGGTTTGTGGTGATGTCCGAAAATTGTTCTAAGTATTTTTCGTTCAAAGCGTCTCAGCTGTTTTTCGTTGGCTTTGGTCATGGTCCACGTTTCGCATCCGTATGTTATTACAGGTCTAACGATGGATTTATAGATTTTGATCTTTGAACTTCTTGTGAGATTTTTTGATTTTATGAGCTTATCCAGTGCAAATAGACAGCGGTTTGCAGATTGGATTCTGTCTTTTATTTCTTCACTGACATCGTTGTCAGCTGTGATTACGGCCCCCACATACTTTAAACGTTGTACTCTTTCGAAATTGAAGGTGTTCACTGTCACATTTTGTCCTATTCTGTCTCTTCGTGTCGTTCTATTTATACACATATATTTCGTCTTCTCTTCATTAATCTTCAGCCCTACTTTACTTGTTGCTCCTTCCATCTTGTTGAAAATGTCTTTCGTGGATAGGATGGAGCCTCCAACAAGATCTATGTCATCTGCATATGCGAGTAACAGCTTGGGACCTTGAACCGATAGCAATTCTGTTTTTATTTTGGCCGACCTCATGGCTTTCTGTAATACAAGGTTAAAAAGTAGTGGAGATAACGCATCACCTTGTTTAAGTCCACTGTTGATTTCAAAGCTGCCAGACAAATTATTATTTACACGAACTTTAGATATTCCACCCTCCATACAGACTTTAGTCATTCGAATGAGTTTCTTTGTATTGAGAACTCCGCCATGGCATTCCATACTTGGCTTCTTTCTACGCTATCATATACCTGTCGAAACTCTATGATTATATTGTGTATGGGTCTGTTATACTTCCATCCCTTTTCTAGAAGTTGTCTCAGCGTGAATAGTTGATCTATTGTTAATCTGTTTGCCCTAAACCCGGCTTGATATTCGCCTAGGACATTTTCAGCATAAGGGATTAGTCTACTAAGAATGATGTTTGAGAGAGTTTTATATGCCGTGTTTATAAGTGACATTCCTCTATAATTCGTGCATTTTGTTTTGTCTCCTTTTTTGTGGGTGGGCACTATTATGATTTCCTTCCATCGTGCTGGTATTCTTTCTTTTAACCATATGTGCATTATTAGCTGGTGGATTTGGCGATGTAGTGCGTCTCCTCCATATTTCAGAAGGTCTGCTGGTATCCCGTCCGTACCCGGCGCTTTGTGATTTTTCAGCTTATTTAAGGCCTTTTGGGTTTCTTTAAAGGAGAGATTTTTGACAAGCATGTCCGCTGTGATATAGATCTCTTCTTCGTGTTGTTCTTCCTGTATAATGTTTAGAAGGTCCTTAAAATACTTTTTCCATTCTTCAGTTACTTCTTTACCGTCGATGATCGTACGGCCTTGATTGTCTCTCAGTGTATGTATGGAATTGGTTTAATGTCCTCTTTTTTTAGAGGAAATTGCTTTATTGAATTCTCTGGAGCCTGGTTTGGGCCGGCCTCTCTCCAAAGCTTCATATTTTTGTTGTTCATATTTTCTTTTCTTTGTGCATATTATTTTTCTTGTTTCTTTTCGACAGTCGTTATATTTCTTTTTACTTTGGTCTGTTTGTAGTTGTATCCAAGTTTTCCTGACTGTTTGTCTTTTTTCCAGCTGTTTCCAACATTCCTCGTCATACCATGTTTTTGCCATCTTCTGCCTACTCCTTCCAAAGGCCTTGTCCGCTGTCTTGGTTTTTATTTCGGCAGTCGCTTCCCATAGCTGTTCTATATCATTGTATTCTCTTTCAGAGTTTAAGCTTTGTTCAAGTTGTTCTCTCTAGTTTTGTTGTTTTATTGTATTTGTGGCTAGATATTCTGGATTTGACTTTTGCTCTGACTAAGTAATGATCTGTGTCTCCGTCTATTCCTCTCAGGCTTCTTACGTCTATAATATTGTTACCATGACGGGCATCTACAATGATATGGTCAATTTGGTTTCGCGTAATATGGTCGTTTGAGACCCAGGTTTGCTTATGGATGTCTTTATGTGGAAACATGGTTGAGTTTATTAGCATGTTATTAGCTGCTGCAGTTTCTGTCAGTCTTAAGCCATTGTCGTTGGATATATTGTGTAGGTTGTGTTAACCTATTGTGGGGTATAGGCTAGACTCTGCCTATTTTTGCATTAAAGTCCCCGCAGAGTATGTGTATATCATGTTTGAGCAACGTATCTATCTCTCTTTCTAGGGCATCGTAGAAGTCATCCTTGATATCTTCATCCTTTTTTCCGTTGGTGCATGCGCTGAGATAATCGAAATGTTGTATCGTTATCGTTATCGTTAAAATATAATTACTTGGACTGGGAAATCTAAATTGCTAGGGACAACCAAATTATTGCAGAAAGCTGAAGACTTAGAGAACTTTAGAAAATTAGGGGAGGCCTATCTTTAACTTTACACGTAAAAGGTTGGATGATGATGATGATGATGATGATGTAATATTAGATTTATAACAAAATGGTAAAACCAATGATTACATATATGTACATAAATTGTAAGGTTTTCAAAGGTGAAGAAAAGAAATACCATCCTCAAACTAAGCCAGGTGCAAATAGTTGCTTGCTTTAGAATCATAGGTGCTTTAAGAAACAAACCAACGGCAGCTATGGAGGTCCTATTGGTCCCTTCTTTACATATAGCTGTTAGCGAGAGGCAAGAATGGTATATTATTGACCATAAGAAACCTTAAAAAATATAGTGGTTTGATTAGGAGATAGTAGCATCATAAATAAAATCAGGAAAACCAAATGGTTTATGATTTCTAAATTTGGTCGCAAGAGGGATGGGACAGTAAACAGACTCAACCTAGACTGCAGGGTGATACTTGGTGCATAGATGTGTCTAACACTGCAGAACGGTCGGGTGCAGGAATATTGTACAATATTTTTACAATCTTACTTACAGTGTACAAGATAAATTAACACGAGGACTGTCAAACTAAAGCGGATAAAGGTACTCACAAATAGCCAAGCAGCCATGGCGGTTCTTATAAGCCATAATGTGAACTCGACGGACTGACGGAACATAACAGTGTCACTTACTTTATTATAGATTAAAAGTCACTGTGAAGTAATTGGCAGAGTAATAGAAACAACGATGAACTCAATAAAAAAGCATTAGCTACAAAATAATTTGGTCCAAAGTCAGCTGTGGGATTGTCACAAAAGATCTCATCCAAGACCAGAAAAAAGAGTAAATACGCAAGTAATATAACTGTCACTGGGAAAAGATACTCGTCAAACACATTACAAAATATGTATTAGACAATCATGTGGTAAGATTGCTGAATTACTGCAAAAAACAATCAGGAATCATCTTAGAGTCATAATATTCGTCCTTACAGAACATGCGTCAGTCAAGGGAGACCTGCATATAATAGTGATATTTCATAAATAATTAAGCTGCAGACTCTGTAGCAGACAACCCAAAGCATTCAACCATATATTTCATCACTTAGACGCATTAGATCTTCCCCTTTCATCTTCCTTTCTTGCATGTAGGCTTTAAAGCCTGTTTATTCTTTATTATTAGCCTCCTTAATAATTTAAATTATCGCACAATCTTTTTCTTGGTCTGCCAATACTGCTTCGTCCATTTGGTGACTTACCTCGTGCTATTGGAAAGTGCCCTCGTGCCCAGGGAAATAAGCATTTTTTCATGACACTCGTCCGGCCAGGCAGACGACAGTTGTTTTGAGTAGTATGGACCTCTGTAACGAAAATGTTAAAAAATGTTTCATGCAGTCGATTTTTTGGACTAAATTAGTTATTAACAAATTAAGTTCAAAAAACGGAAAATTTTTGCTTTTTTTTGGGCTATCAGCAAAAAGTAAAGCAATTTAAACAAATTTTAGAAGAGAGAAAACTTATAAGTTATATAAAAACCTTCAAAATGGAACATTTCAAAATGTTTCTATCCTTATTTGTTGCTTAGAAAGTTGCAAAATAAGTCAAAAATTTCGGTTTTTTATAAATGTTAATAACTTTTTTGAAAATAAACGTATAATATTTATATTTCATGGAATGATGTGTCTTGTAGTGCTTAAAATAGGGTTAAAATTTCAAAGTGAT